TCCCAGCAAAGTTTGGGAGAACTTCCAAAGCAGGAAGGATCCCAGCAGAGACCTGAGAGCCTGGTCTGTGCTGGAGGCAAAAATAAAGGCTCTGGCTCCTCTGAGCTCCTCCCCTCCCAAATTTCCCCCATCAATAAATCCCACCTTCTTGCCCTGTTTGGCTCCACTTGCTGATTGATGATCCTTGGAATGAAAGAGGCTGAGCAGGAATGAGCTCTGGGGCTCTGGGTGATTTCCAGAGACACCCTGATCCCTCTCCTGCCCTTCTCATTTAGTGTCAGGAGCAAGTTTTTTTGTCACCTGGGGAGTGACAAGGATTTCTTCGTGCTTCCCAAAGGATTCCCAGGCTTTCCCTCCTGCTTAGGGCCTTTGTTTCTGTCCAGCCCAAGGGGGGGAGCCAGGCTGCTGGGAGCTGAGGGGGGACTGGAAACAGGAATAAGGACCAGCCCAGGATTGGTGAGAGGCAGAAGATTGGGAAGAAAAAAGCCAAGAGGATGTGTTGGATTAGAAACACCCAGGTGGTGCCTGCTGGGAGAGCTGCCCAGGGAGGCTCTGAGGGGGGAATTAAATGTGTATGAAACGTGATGGCCGAGACCTTAATGGCACCTCCTTGTCCTGGTGCAGCTGGAGACGTCTCTGGGGTGGACCCCAAGTCACTTGATTTCTTCATAGAATCATGGAATGGGTTGGAAGGGACCTTAAAGATCATCCAGTTCCAACCCCCTGCATGGGCAGGGACACCTCCCACCAGCCCAGGCTGCTCCAAGCCCCATCCAACCTGCCCTTCAACACTGCCAGGGATGGGGCAGCCACAGCTTCTCTAAGCCAAGGGGCCAACCCATGGCCACGATCCCAGTGGCAAAGAAAGGCTGGAAGAGCCATATAACCCATCTGGTGAGAAGCAACCACCACATTCCTGGAGCAAAGTCTCTCCCAGGCCCCTCATCCAGCTGCTGGATCCTCACCAGGGGAAACAATCCCTGCTTTTGGAGGCAGGAAAAAGGAGAAGCAGGTTTTTATTCTTCACTCCATGGGGCATAAATGGGTTTTATATGCAGACATTTATGTACATGGTTGGTGCCCCTCAAAGTCAACATTGCTGGCAGAACCATGGAGTCAGGGAATCACTGACTGGTTTGGGTTGGAAGGGGCCATAAAGATCATCCAGATCCAACCCCCCTGCATGGGCAGGGACACCTCCCACCAGCCCAGGCTGCTCCAAGCCCCATCCAACCTGCCCTTCACCCCTGCCAGGGATGGGGCAGCCACAGCTTCTCTGGGCAACCTGGGCCAGGGTCTCCTCACCCTCACAGCCCAGAATTGCTCCCTCACATCTCAGTTCCAGCTCCCTCTGCCAGCTGGAAACCCTTCCCCCTGCTCCCATCCCTCCCTGCCTTTGTCCCAAGCCCCTCCCCAGCTTTCCTGGAGCCCCTTCAGGCACTGGAAGGTGCTCTAAGGTCTCCCTGGAGCCTTCTCTTCTCCAGGCTCAACACCCCAACTCTCCCAGCCTGTCTCCAGAGCAGAGCTGCTCCAGCCCTCCCAGCATCTCTGTGGCCTCCTCTGGCCTCTCTCCAACAGCTCCTTGTCCTTCCTGTGTTGGGGACCCCAGAGGTGGCCCCAGCCCTGCAGGGGGGTCTCAGCAGAGCAGGGGGGACAATCCCCTCCCTGGCCCTGCTGGTTACCCTGCTGGTGACAGCCCAGGACACGGGGGTTTTCTGGACTCCAGGACACAAGGGTGGGCAGAGTGGGGGGTGAGAACCAGGGGTGCTGCCCTTCAAGGACCCTTGGGTGCAGGACACTGCAGAGCTGTGAGGTGCTCAAGGGGAGGCAGCAGAGGGGAGATGTTTGGGTCTTTCCCTCAAAGCCCTCCTGAGTCTTTCCCACCTTCTCTCACATTTAAGGCAGGACCAGTTGGGTGATTCCAGAGCCCTTTTCCAGTCCCCAGCAGCAAAGCCTGAAAGGAGAAACAAAACCAACACACTTGGACACAGATTTATTTTGATTGTTTAAAAAAAAAACAACAAACAACCCAACAACAAAAACCCAAACCCTAAACCCAACCAGCCAGGCCCCAAACTCTGCTAAATCCAGAAGGTTTTGATCAAAAAGTACTTTGGTTCACTTGCTTCTCCAGCCTCTGCTAAAATCTCTGTGCTATTATTTCTACAGCAAAGGTGAAAAAAATAAATCAGGAGCCTTATTTTGGGACAGGAGGGGGAGGCCCTGGATGCAAATACTATTTGGCTCATGGGGTCTTTCTGCATGGACCTTTCCTTCATCTCCTAAAGGACAAGCTCCCCTGAGCTCCTCCAGCAGGAGTTGCTACTTCTGTTGACACCTCAAGAGCTTCAGAAAGTCAGAAATCACTGTCATGTTTTAAAAAATAAATAAAAATCCCCCCCCCCTAAACACCAGGAATAATGACACCTGGTTTGAGTGAAGCCCCAGAACAGCACGTGGTTAAAATAAAGAGAAAGCCCAAAGGTCCCCAAACCAACCAGCATCTCATGGGAGTTGGAGACAACGTGCAAGGTCCTTGAGAGAAAAAACACCAGGGGTCTGTGTACGGGCTCTTCCACTCCTCAGGCACCTGCTCAACCCCCACCCAAGGCTGGAGCAGCCACCCCCATGGCTCCCTCAAGGGACCTGCAGCTCCTCCTGCCCTGGTGTCACACCCCTCTTCCAAGCTCTGAAGAACCCCAAGTGTCCCTGAGGCTCTTGCACTGAATCTGTGTTGTCTTCCCCTACCTCCCTGGCTCAGCTGAAGCTCCGTGTACAAATCTTTGAGGATGAAGATGAGGGATGAAGGTTTTTTGCATCTCCCCGGGTCCTTCCTAGAGGCTGCACGAAGAGCTGGGAGCCAGAGCTGACCTGCAGGAGGTGAAACAATCACCACATCTCCACAACCCTTGCAGACATCTCCTGTCTGACACTCAAACCACTTTCAGGCTGAGGACAAAGTCAAAACCAGAAGAGGAAAACCCTGAGGCTGGAGGGAGTTGCAGGGCCTGTCAGGATGGTCCTAGCTCTGGTTGGGATGGAGTTCCCATCTCCCATCCTGGAGGGAATGGTGCTGGGCTTTGGATCTGTGGCTTTGTTGAGCACCCCCCTGTGCTGCAGCACTTGAACGTGTCCCTTCTGGCCCCACCAGTGACTAAACCACGGGTGGGCAAGAAGCTGGGAAAGGACAAATCCAAGAGAACTGATCCAGGTACAAACCAGCAATAAAAGCAGAGAGGAGGAGGCTGTGGGAAGGTGGCCACTGGCTGGAACACAGGTCTAATGGGAGGTGGTGGTGAGGGGTTGCCTTTGCATTCCTTGTGGGATTTTCTCCCCCTCTTCCTCTTTCTTTTGCTTATTAAACCCTCTTTACCCCCAAGTTTTCTTGCTTTAGCTCTTCCCACCCTGGGGGAAGTGACTGAGCAGCCACGTGGTGCTTTGCTGCCCTCAGGGTTAAACCCCCAGACCAGGTTGAAGGTTGAGGGGCTGTAAACACCAAGGCTGGAAGCCTTTGGGAGGTTGGGTTAGAGGAGTGAGGGAACAGAGTCCTCACTTGGCCAAGCTTGATGTGACTCAGGCTGACATTGCTCCAGTTCCCACGGGCTGAACAAGGATGGGACCACCACGAGGAGAACAAGGTGCTCCAGGGAAACTGAGGCAGGACAAGGCAAGGTCCAAGCACTTGGTGCTGCTCCTCCAAGACCAACATGAAGCTCCAGGTGCTGACCCTGCCCAACGCTGCTCCTAGAAGAGCTGTGGCTGCTGCTCCTCACCTTGCTGGGTGACACTTTGCCTGTGTGCATGAGGACACACACCCCCCACAAGCTCCTGCAGCCCAGCCCTGCCCCACCTGAGAGGGGACACCAAGGGACACCACCCCTGTGTCAGCTGGATGCTGCCATGGTGCAGAGAAATGCCATGAGTGAAGCTGATGCCCAAAGAGGGGAGGGAGAAGAAAAGAGGAGAACTGGGTGAAGGGACAGGAAAACCAACTCCAGCAGGACAAGCTCAGGTCTACTGGCCCTTAAGCTTCTTGGCATCGTTTGAACCCTGAGGTTGGGTTGGATCTGGGGGGGCCCACAGGCATGTTGGGGGCTCTGCAGTTTCTTGCAAGCCCACTGAGCACCCATGGGACAAGGGAAGAAGTAGGAAGCGATTGGAAAGTGACCTGCACTGGGGACCCAAGAGAAGCAGGAGGAACCCAGGAGATGCTCCAGCTGGTGAAGTATCAGGGCAACTCCTGAGGACTCAGTGAAGCCTCAACAGCACTTCAGCATCTCCCTGAGAAGGTGACACAGTGGCACTTTCTATCCCCCCCTTAACATCACCCCTTTTTGGTTTCCTCAGGCTCCCAGCTGGGCCCTGCTACTCTTGATGGGGCTCAGTGCCTTGGGAATCAGCTCCCTGAGCCATTCCCCAGTGGGGGGATCTACTGGGCAGACTGGAAGGCTCTAGTTCCAGGTGTATCCAACACCCTCCCAGCACAGATGGTAGGATCAGGCAACAAGGACCCAGGTTCACAGCCAGACCTGGCATTTCCAGGGCAACCAACAACCTGCTGCACCAACAGCAGCTCCTCAGGGATCAACCACCTGCTATGGCCACCTGGACATGAAAGGATGACACCAAACAGGCTCAGGGTCCAGCTCATCAAGAGCCAGGAGGAGTGGACAACAGCACCACAACAAAGGTGGGCTCCTCACAGAACTGGGGCAGCTTTTCTATCACTTTAAAAAGGGTTCTTCAAATGCAAAATAACAGAGGGAGGAGGGGCTGGAAGCAAAAGGGGCTGCATTAAAACAACTCAATCCTGCAAGGAGAACCGTCGGGTCTCTCCATGATCCATCTCAGGTAGGTTCCCAAGCAGAGGCTCTACGTTTCCCAGGAGCTTGGCACAGCCAACAACTCCTGTGATAAAAACCACAACCCCCCCCAGGGGGGGATTCCCTGCTGCTCTGCACTATCCAGCAAGAAGAAGGTCCCTGCAGAGTCCTCGGCTGTTACTCCTCCTTGGGCCTCTTCCTCCAGCTGGCCAGGAAGGGCCCCAGGCTGTTCCACACCTCGGTGTACATCAGAGTCCCCACGAAGACCAAGGAGGTGCCCAACCAGTGCCAGGCTGTGAAAGGGTTGTGGAAGTAGAGGATGGAGAAGATGAGGCTGACGAACTTGCGCAGCGTCACCACCAGGGTGACGGTGAGGGAGGTGCACTCGGTGGTCAGGATGAAGACGCCGCGGATGCAAACGTATCTGGGAGCAGGAGGTAAGGGGAGCTGGGCTGGGTTGGAAGGACCTTAAAGATCATTCAGTTCTAACCCCCCTGCATGGGCAGGGACACCTCCCACCATTCCAGGCTGCTCCAAGCCCCATCCAACCTGCCCTTCAACACTGCCAGGGATGGGGCAGCCACAGCTTCTCTGGGCAACCTGGGCCAGGCTCTCCCCACCCTCACAGCCCAGAATTGCTCCCTCACATCTCAGCTCCAGCTCCCTCTGCCAGCTGGAAACCCTTCCCCCTGCTCCCATCCCTCCCTGCCCTTGTCCCAAGTCCCTCCCCAGCTTTCCTGGAGCCCCTTCAGGCACTGGAAGCTGCTCTAAGGTCTCCCTGGAGCCTTCTCTTCTCCAGGCTCAACACCCCAACTCTCCCAGCCTGTCTCCAGAGCAGAGCTGCTCCAGCCCTCCCAGCATCTCTGGGGCCTCCTCTGGACTCTCTCCAGCAGCTCCATGTTCTTCTTAGGTTGGAGGAGCCAGAACTGGACACAGTTCCCCTTGTCCTCTCTCTCCAAGCCCTGGTAAAAGTCTCTTCTCCTCAGCTCACTCATGAACAGCTTCACTCCAAAACCCAGGGACACCCCAAATCTCCCAGACTCCCCCTGAACCTGCTCTGGGACAGCAAAACTGCCCCAACTAGAGCAGCTGGGGCTGAATCTATCTGTCCAAAGGACAAGATGATGTGTTGTGCCCCATGCACAGGGTTTGCAGGCCCTGACATGGAGCCAAGGAAGCTAAAACCAGCACTGATACCCAGCAGAAGTTCCCTCTTCCCCTGGAGGGGCCATGGGAAAGGCAGATTAAAGAAGGGGGCTTCATGGAGAAGCATGAGGAGCAACAGGGCACAGGGCTCACTCCAGTGAAAGGAAAATGGTAAGAGGGGCTGGGACTGAAGGGTCCCTTTTTGGAGGGCATCTCAGCTTCTTCAGACTTTCAGAGCTGGCCTCACTGCCTGGGAGAATCCACACACTGACACAGCACACAAATGGCTCCTGATCTGTCCCCTCTACCTAGAGCAGAACCACCATGAGCCAGCCTAGCCCTGGGGAGGTGGTGGCAGATTTCATGGAAATAACATAAACCCCCAGTTAAAGTCTAGTCTGGATTTTTCCAAGAGGTTGTGGTCAGGTGGTTCAGCCACTCTGGAAAAAATTGTAAGTCCCAGGTGAAGTCCTGCTCTGTACTTTCAGGGAATCATAGGATGGTGTGGGTTGGAAGGGACCTTAAAGACCATCAGGTTCCAACCTCCCTGTCATGGGCAGGGACACCTCCCACCAGACCAGGCTGCACAAGCCTCATCCAACCTGCCCTTGAACACCTCCAGGGATTGGGACTTCCACAACCTCCCTGGGCAACCTGTTCCAGTGCCTTCCTACCCTCATGGTGAAGAATTTCTTCCTGATGTCTGACCTAAATCTCCCCTCTTTCAGTTTAAACCCATCATCCCTTGTCCTATCACTGCCCTCTCTGGTGAAGAGTCCACAAACATTTTGCTTTCCACAAACATCAGCTCCTAAAGACAGGGAAGACTCCAAAGACTCAGCCTCCCCACCCCATTCCTCCTCTCCCACCCCACTTCCATCTCCAGGGCATGTCTCAAGCTGAGCTTTGAAAGGATACTGAGTGATGACATTCATGAGGAGGTAGAACCACATGATTGGCAGGGTCAGCCCAATCACTGGGACCTGGAAGGGCTCTGTGGGGAGAAAGGACAGAACAAGGTCACTGCCCTGCTGATGCCTAAAGAAGATCCAAGGAGAAGTGTCTCTCTCCTGTCCTGGATTGACCATGATCTGGGACACATGATATATCCCCTGGACCAAGAGGGAATTAAAGAAACATCAAAGCTACTCAGTCAGGATCCCTCCAGTTTCATAAACTTGGGATCAGAACAGAAAAGCTTTCTGGCACTGAAAATCCTGGTGGATTTTACTGTTCAATTTCAGCAGCTGCACAGCTCAGGGTTGGGGGGGATGAACCATCTGGCTGGGTCCAGCAGCTCCAGTGTGCATGTGTGCAAAGTTTGGGCTTTCATCACAGGGATCTGAACAGCAACTCAGGGCTCAGCTCTGCTGCCCACAGCCAGGCTCTCCAGAGTCAGCCATCACCACTTCTCCAAGCAGGCTGGCATCTGGCCCCCCAGGAGGAAAGGGTTGGACAAGGTCCCAAAGATTTTGGCTTTCTATCAAAGCTGAAAATTGAAAGGGCTTGAATATCCAGAGACAACAGCCTGATGTGCACAACTGCTGGGCTGAAAACCTACAGAATTTTCCAGAGGACAGAAAGGTGTGAAAGTGCTTCATGTTGTCTTGTTTTCCTTCTTCTTAACCTCTCCTGACTTCAGGGAGCTCAACCCCATGATGTGCTGTGGGAGAATAGCCCCTGCCCAGCAGATTTTTCAATCCCCAACAGCTGGGGCTCCATTTTCTCTGGTTTGAACAGATGTTTTAGCCTCACATTCCTCTGCACTGAAGAGAAGATGCACTTTAATAGCACCTTCCAAAGCAGAGGTCCTTCCATGCAGGAGAAGTCCAGGTGGAACTAGGCCAAATCCATCCTGACTGGGGCATTTAACCTCCACTAGGAGATGAGCCACTGGTTGAGCTGTTCAGTGGAAGGGAAAGCTGGGTCCCTTTGGCCAGCAATTCAGCCCATCCAGAGTCTGGGCTTGGTTTTATTATTGTTAATTCCTCATCACCTTTGGAAAAATGAAGCCTGTTTGAGCCTCAGTCTCCTCGACTGTCATTAAGTGGGACCTCAATGATTAACCCTGAAAGGCAGGATCCATCTGTGCCACACTCACCAGACTGGCTGAAGAGGACTGCATGGTGGTAGATGTCTGGGGCAAGGAGCAGGAAGCCAGGGAGTGGTAACGCGTGCTGGAGAGAAAGGGAAAGAAGGATGTGAACAGATTATGGGAATTCCCCCCACTTCTCATCCTGGAAAACCAGCCTTTTCCCTGGCAGTGTTGAAGGGCTTGGAGCAACCTGGGCTGGTGGGAGGTGTCCCTGCCCATGCAGGGGGGTTGGAACTGGATGTGCTTTAAGGTCCCTTCCAACCCAACCCAACTGTGTGTCTGTGATCTGGAGGGGAGCAACACCCTTCCCTGCTCCAGCCTTGGATCCTTGGGATTGGTGCTGAGTGGGAGGGGAAGGGACTCCCTCAGCAGCTCCAGCTGCCCAGTAAAAGCACCAGAAAAGACAGGGTGACTTACATTGTAAAAAAGGGCCTCTTTGGAGTGCTTCCCAAACTGCTTGTACAGAGTCTCCTGGAAAATCCCCATCCTGGCAGACATGAGGAGGGCGAAGGTGAGAGCAGCAATACCTGGAAGAGGAGCACAGCCTTGCAGCACTGCCCAGGGATGGCAGAGATCAAGTCAAAACAGCTCCACAACCACCTTGATTTGGCTTGCAGTGAAAAAAATCCAAAGCATCCAGACTTGATAGGATGGGCAGAAAATTGATGATGGTCTTGAGGACACGAGTATCTTAATGGAAAAGGCTGAGAGATGCCAAAAAGACTCTTGGAAGATCATCCCTTTATAAAGATTCTCAGCCCTGGCAAGAAGAGTTGGTGGGATGGCAGGGATATGGTTGGTTGCCACTAGTGACAGTGCATCAATCCCCTTTTCCTTGAAAAGCCACCCATAAATCTAGGTTGGAGGTCTAAAAATAGACTGAAGTCCCAGACTGGAGAGGCTCCTCCATGAAATAATGGGCTGAATGACCACCTGCACCAGCTGCAGCCCCTCTCTCCCCCTCTGCAGCTCACAGCATCAGATCCTGCTTTTGCAGGGAGAAATCAAAGGTATCAGCAACCACGGAGTCTCATTCTGTCACTAAACCACTTCCATCCCTGCAGAAACCCCAGGATTCAACTCGTTGGCCAGATGAAGAGTGTCTCCTGGCACAGAGCTGCTGCTGAGTGCCACAAAACCCTCTTCTCTGCAAATCAGATGCTCAGCACAAGCTCAGCAAGGGGACTCCCACCCCACAGCCTGCCCTGCACCACCCACAGGGCCAAGGACATCAGAGAGCCAAGTCCTGCCAGGATCCCAGCAAGGCTGGCTGAAGATCTGGCACTCACATACCCAGCAGCCACCAAAAGAAAACCTGGAGTCCATCCTCTTCATTTAAGCTGGAGTCAGATGCCTGGTGGAGGGAGACAAAACACAGACACCATGAGCTTCCATGTCACTGCAGCTCCTTTGGACCTGCCTCTTCCTCTCTCTCTTGGTTTGTGTGTGGTGTTCCAAGCAAGCCCATCAAGCAAAGACCAGCCAAAGTCTCATGTTCTCCAGAGCTGCTTCCCTGGCTGAACAGAGGTTTGTGGCAACTCCAGCACATTTTGCTTTGCACCCTCACAGCAAAGAATTTCTCCCTAAGATCTCATCTCCATCTATCCTGTTAGCCAGGGGTAAAACCCTAAGTAGCTCAACAACTTGGCTCAACTCTTCTTCAGTGTGGTTTTATGGCAAATTAGATTACTCACTTTTGCCACAACACTGTATTCCCCACCAAACCCCATCCCTGCTGAGAGTTTAGCTGGATTAATACAGAGCAAGGCTGCACAGCACAGACCTTCCTCTGACACCATGAGAGGATAAATAGCTATTAAATTCTGATGGTCTTGGAGGTTTAACAGCCTTGTTTCATTTCCAGTCTCTCAGAGCTGGATTAAGTGCAACCCATTTTCACTTGACCACCACTTTATGCCATTTTCTCTCTTCAGTTGACAAGACCAGGCTGTGGGTGCTGACCCAGGAAAAGCCCCAAGTGGTGTCACACGTGGATTTTCCTCACTCCCTCCTCTTCTCCAAATACATGGACTTTATTTCAAGGGCCACAGAAAGTCAAGCTGCATGACAACAAGTTTGGAAGAACCTAGCCTGAAAGCTGACAATCTCCCCTGGGATAAAATGAGTGGAGATTTAAGATGGCTGGGTTTTGTTGAAGGTTCACCTGCTCTTAACTGCAACACACTGCAGTAAGGGCAAGAGAAAACAGCTTCTAGCTGTGGCAAAAAAAAACAGTGGTGTGTTCTCAGCAAACAGCAACCCGAACAAGACAGGATAAAAGGCAGCTGTAATTAAGTTAAATCCAAGTGTATGCATTTGCCCAGAGAAGCTGTGGCTGCCCCATCCCTGGCAGTGTTGAAGGGCAGGTTGGATGGGGCTTGGAGCAGCCTGGGCTGGTGGAAGGTGTCCCTGCCCATGCAGGGGGGTGGAACTGGATGATCTTTGAGGTCCCTTCCAGCCCAACCCATTCAGTGATTCCATTATTCTATGTGTCCCCTCCCTCCAAACCACAGGAAAATTAGACCAGGAACAAGAGCTTTCAGGGAGCAGATCTAGAGCTGGGAGATACCTTGATTCTCCATTAATAGTCAGGCAAAAGGGAATTACTGCCAAAGGTGCTGCCAGCAGCTTGTCCTGTCAATAAGGTTCACAGCTAGGACCCCAGGCCCCTTCCAATCCTTACCACTTGCTTTGCAGACATGAAAGTGCAGGTGAAGATCCCCAGGGACACCAGGGCTATGGAGGTGTACTTAAATATGCTGTACCTGCAGAAGGAAGAAGAGAAGATGGTCAGAGATGCAACCCAGCCTCATGCTGTTCACCTGCTGCTCCATCACACTGGTGTGAACTTGGGGTGATGGGCACACCCCCACCCCCCAACGTTGGACACTGGTGGGAGGGAAGGCAAACTGACTCCAACTGCAACAACAAATAAGCATTTGGAGGCAGATCCCCTTGCATGTGGCCAAGGATCCCTCACAGATCAAAGCCAGGATGGAGCTCTGCACAGTGATGGAGTGGAAGGGGATGTGCCCACCCTGGTCCAACAGGCAGACCCCAAGCAGCTCAGAGAACATTCCTGACCTGAGGTCCTTGCCCACTGTGGTGGGTTGACCCCAGCCAAGCAGCCACACAGCCCCCTCAGTCCCCCCCCAGCCACGTGGGATGGGAGATACAGCAAGTGAGAAAACCCTAAAGAGTTTATTAAGTGTGTGTGGGGGAAAAGCAACAACAAAACCAACCACTCACCACCTCCCAGAAGCATCTTCCTCTTGGAAGCCAACTCCCCCCAGCCTCCTCCTTCCTCTACCCTGGTTTCTATTGCAGTGCCCAACATAGAACACCCCTTTGGCCATTTGGGGTGGGTTGTCCTGGCTCTCCCAGCTTCTGCTCCCCCTCAGCCTATTCACTGATGGACAGACTGGGAAAAAGAGAAAGCCTTGGCCCTGAGTGAGCTTTGTTCAGCAAGAGCCAAAACATCAGGGTGCTCTCAGTGCTCCTGCAGCCAGAAACCCCAACACAAATCTCTCTTCAGTCCATGCCTGCTTAAATGAAGGAGGGAAGGGTGGTGGAAATGCAGAAGAGGGAACTATTCCAGCCTCTAGGCCAGGCATCCCTTTGTGTCCCACTTTCCCCACCAGTAAAAGAAGAATATTTAACAAAATAGAAAGAGGGAGTGGAACTAAACAACCAGTCAGGATTAATTCTGTGGCAAAACAATCTCTAGTGACCCAAGAAAGAGGCTTGTGAATTTACCTTTTCTTCAGAATGATGATGCCCAGAGCCATGCTTGCTATGAGGGAGCCCTGGGAAAGAACAGAGAGGAGGGGAAAAAAAAAACACCCAAAAGAGAAGGTCAGCATGACAAAACTCACCAGACTGGGATGCCCATCCCACAGAAACACCACAGACTCAATAGAACTAACAGCAAAACACCAGCAGAACAGTGGTAGGGGGACTGATGGGATGGGGAGAGTCTCCCTTCAGCTAGGAGGGCAGAAGTTGAGCTGAGTGGCTTGGGAACAAGGACTTGGCAAACAGGCTACAAAGATCTTCTGACCAGTGGGTCTCCTCCTTTTTTTGGTGTGTGAAACAACCTAAAATGTGGGCAAACCCCTGTGTTGGTCACTGGCTCCACAGACAGCAGGGCTGCAACACAAGAACTATCCTTCCTGACTCATGCAGGACAGGGCTCCAAGACTGTTGTCTGGTTTTCCTTCTCCTTACTTCAGGGAGCCCAGCTGGAAACCCTTCCCCCTGCTCCCATCCCTCCCTGCCCTTGTCCCAAGTCCCTCCCCAGCTTTCCTGGAGCCCCTTCAGGCACTGGAAGCTGCTCTAAGGTCTCCCTGGAGCCTTCTGTTCTCCAGGCTCAACACCCCAACTCTCTCAGCCCTTCCAGAGTCTGGCCTTGGATTTTTCATTGTTACTTCCCCACCATGTTTGGAAATATGAAGCCTTTTTGAGCCTTAGTTTCCTAATTTGTTCATTAAGTTGAAATGTAATGATTAACACTGGGAAAGTCAGAACTGGAGCTGAGCCTTCAGAGCAAGGTTGCTCTCCCCACAAGTTAGGTGGAGTTTAATCATTGCAGGAGGTCTTGGTGCCCTCAGGGAAGAGAAGATGGCAGGACTTGTGCACCAGGGACAGTGGTGGCAGAGATGGTGGGAAGAGATGTCACATGAGGAGAGAAAGGCTGTTGGGACAGTACTCACTGATCTGAAGATCATGTGCAGTGGCATAGCAATATTTAAGTTGAGGGCATAGTTATTCACCACACTGACAGTGAAGAACATGGCCACCATGATGAAGTAGTATCTGAAACACAAACACACACAAAAATGCTGACAGCTGTGCAGGTACCTCCCTGGGAACTTGCAGGGGAGACACCTTGGGAACAGATCAAAGGTTACAAGGAAAGGTCTGGAGCTGGGCAGAAGCCCACCCTGCTGTTGGGTCTGTCACAAGGATTAACCAGGAGATCTATCCAGTTTGGATGTAGCAAGGAAGCCCTTAGAACAGGAACTGTGACCTGCACTGGCTCATCCTGTGCTAATCTCAGAAGCAAAGGGGAACTGAAGATAGCCCAGCTTGGATCTTTTAGCATCTTTTGTCCATATCTGTCTTTCCTAAGGACAGTGGCACAACACAAGGCTTGATTTGAGGGGATTCAATTCCTGCCAGCAGTCACTGTGGGCCTGAGTGGAAGGATAAACTCTTCTAATCCAGGCTGAACACCTTCATGTTTCTACATGTCAACATGTAAAGCCTCCACAATGGTCTGGGTTGGAAGGCACCTTAAAGATCATCTAGTTCCAACCCCCCTTCATGGGCAGGGACACCTCCCACCATTCCAGGCTGCTCCAGGCCCCATCCAACCTGCCCTTCAACACTGCCAGGGATGGGGCAGCCACAGCTTCTCTGGCCAACCTGGGTCAGGGTCTCACCACCCTCAAAATAAATAATTTCTTCCCTAAAATCTCATCTCAGTCTCCCCTCTCCCAGTTTTCATCCATTCCTTTTCAGCCCATCCCTCCCTGCCCTTGTCCCAAGTCCCTCCCCAGCCTTCCTGGAGCCCCTTCAGGCACTGGAAGCTGCTCTAAGGTCTCCCTGGAGCCTTCTCTTCTCCAGGCTCAACACCCCAACTCTCCCAGCCTGGCTCCAGAGCAGAGCTGCTCCAGCCCTCCCATCATCTCCGGGGCCTCCTCTGGACTCTCTCCAACAGCTCCGTGTCCTTCTTGTGTTGGGGACCCCAGAACTGGACCCTACCCTGCAGGAGGAGTCTAACCAGTTTGGAGAAGAGGGAGACAATCCCTTCCCTGTCCCTTCTGGCCAGGCTGCTGGGGATGCAGCCCAGGACATAGCTGGTTTCTGAGCTGCCAGCCCACCTCGCTGGCTCGTGTCACAAAATTAAGCTCCTCACTGTGCCTCAGCCACAAAGGACACTAAACCTGCCCTCAAATTTCTGTCATTTCTGTCTTTTGTCTGTCCCGAGCACTCAGCACAGCACTCTGTTTTGCAACAGGCTCAGCAACCTGCTGAGGAGCCCCACAAAACCTCCTCACTTCATTTCAGCCACTGAGTGAGTGTCAGAGAAGAGAGCACGAACACGCCGGGTAATTGCCAGGACAAGACCAGTCCTGATGGAGAAATGCAAGAGGAACCTGAGTGGCTTTCCAGTAAATCTCTCCCTCCCACACCCATTGCACCAAGCCCCAGAGAGACAATAAGGCCTTCAAACACAAGCAGAACATCCTGCCCTGTTTCATGGAAGGAAGGTACCTGATGGCAACTTCCTATTAAGAACTCCCGATGAACGAGTTTGTGTTTTATTAGGCAGGACAAGTTGTCAAGGAGACTTCCCAAATGCTGCAGAATGGATGGGATTTGGCCAGGATTAATGGATAAGGCCTTTTATTAAACACTTCTTGAGATAACAGCCAATTTCTGCCCGAGCAAAAGTGTTCAGATCAACTGTACCTGATGGGGATGGCTGGCTTCTTCCTCCCAAAGTTGGCTTCAAAGATAAAGCCCTCCAGGGCAATGAACAGGAATTGGGAGAATGTCACTATGTTCCCACATCCTGGAATCTGCCTGCAAGGCATGGAAAAGAGAGAAAAGCCTAAGAGAAATGCCACAGAGAACAAACACTGCAGTGGAAAGAGACTAATAGGTCAAATACCTAGAGTGAGAATCAACCCCCAGGGGCGTCACTGCTTTTTCTGTCCAGGTTCTCACATTGTCTTGGTGAGACACTTCCCTGCAGGAATTTTATCCAGCTCTACTTGTAGATCTTTGTGCAGCCATCCCCTTCCTCAGCTAAATCCACAGAGGAAACCAGCAGCCACCTCCATCACGGGGCACGTGGTGAAGTGGGTCAGGAAGCAAAAGGAAAAATTGGTGGCATCTCCCAGGTCTGTAGAACATTCCAGCAGGATCTGATATAACTACACTGAGGCTGGGTCTCCTTCCTTCTCATGGGGAAGTGTTTTTGACAGGACTCTCTCCACACCTACAAGCTGCTGTGGTTGCTAGAGGTTGGGTGGAATGATGAGTCCACTCAGGAAGAAGGCAGCAGGGTTTCCAAGAGCCCTTATTCCCACTGCATGAGGGAAGGGCTGAGGTCAGGCCCATGTGTGCAGAGCAAGGTGTAGTGTGCATGGTTCTGCTGACACCTCATCCCTAGGTTCTGTGGACATCAGCTTGGACCTGCTTCCAATTTACCCAGCAAGCTGTAGATCTCTGCTCTGCTGTGTTTGCTGGATGCCAACAGGTTGGGTGTAGGATCAAAAAGGAACCTACAGCAGCTCATGGAATCACAGACTGGTTTGGGTTGGAAGGGACCTCAAAGATCATCCAGTTCCAACCCCCTGCATGGGCAGGGACACCTCCCACCATTCCAGGCTGCTCCAAGCCCCATCCAACCTGCCCTTCAACACTGCCAGGGATGGGGCAGCCACAGCTTCTCTGGCCAACCTGGGCCAGGGTCTCAGCAGCCTCACAGTGAAGAATTTCTTCATCATGTCCAACCTAAATCTTCCCTTCTCCAGTTTTAATCCACTCCCCCTTGTCCTCTCACTCCCTGCCCTTGTCCCTAGTCCCTCCCCAGCTTTCCTGGAGCCCCTTCAGATACTGGAAGGCTGCTATGAGGTCTCCTCAGAGCCTTCTCTTCTCCAGGCTCAACACCCCCAGCACCACCCCCTCAGCCTGTCTCCAGAGCAGAGCTGCTCCAGTCCTCAGATCATCTCCATGGCTCAAAGCTGTGTCCAGAGCCCCAAAAGGTCATGGCTCTGTGACAGTCAGGCAAGCCAAGGAGCTTGCATATGTGACACTCCTTAGCTTTTCCTGCCAAGCAGGTGGTTTTCATGGAATCTGAAGGCCTGGTTATCACTGGATAATCTGCTCCCAGCACCAGCTGTAAAACTCCCTTGTCTCCAACCTCAGCATGCTCAGGACTCAACTCTCACACTAAACTCCCCAGTCCTCAGGTTCCCATCGTGGGCTGGGGAGAGTAAAACGTTTTGGTGGGTTCGTGAGACATCTCCTTAGTCCATCAGCAAAACTTGTTTCACTCTGACATGTCTCAAGACAATGGATATCCTGAGTGCCTGAGTACACCACTTATTTCTTGGGTTGTTCTGAGACAAGCACTGTACATCCTGCATAGCTTTGTGCCCTCCCAGCTCACAGATCCTTCCATTCAGTCACTTGCTGCACATATGACCTCACACTACCTGAAGTGTTGACACAGGGTTATGTGTTGACTGACAATAAAAAGACAATAAAAACCAACCACCAACCCAGGCTGCATCTGCCTGTATCTGACCCCCAGTCCCAGCACACTGAGAGCTAAAAGAAGTGACAAGAAATCTGGATGTATCAACCAAAGATCTGCTGTAGCTGTAGCCAACAGAGCCCTCCAGAAGCCATGTAGAAACACTATGATGCCACTTGTCCCCTTGCCTCCTGGGCTGTTGGTGTCTGGTGGGACAAACAGCCTGAGTGGGGCTCTCAAACAGCCCCTGAGTTGGGGGAGCACAAACACTACCCCAATATTTGCACATCAGCTCAGGGCAGAGCACACTCATTTAGACACAGCTCAACACAACCAAGTCACTGATCACTGGAGCCCACATTTCACAGAGGATTTCTTCAGCAGTCCCTCCAGAAGAACAACCCCCCCCCATATTTGCACCATAAAGGGAGGAAACCCCCTGGAGATCAACCAGGCAGAGCCATTTTTACAGGGAAGTTACCTCACAAGGACACAGTTTCAGGAGGCAAAGAGCAGATCATGGGCTTTCTAACCAGGCCTGTCTGTATATGCCACACAAAGCTTTGGCATCCTGGCTCAAAGACAAACTTCCCCAGGACAAGTAGGAAAGGACACCAGCAGAACAGGTTGGGTTGCTCCAGACAGGGAAAATAGGATGAACTGGATGGCACCTCTTACCCCATCCAGGCTTCTTTCTGTTAACTTGCTTTTGAAAGCCTCCAAGGAGGAGTTTCCCTGCTCTCTCTCTCACAAACTCACTTCACTACACTGAGAGGGAGCACACCTGGGGTTTTCACCTGCTTTTACCTCCATTTCACAGCAATTTAAGCCCCTTATTTCATTTTCTGCCTCCAGAGACCAGCAGAAAAATTTATCTCCTCTTCTCTGCAGCCATTCCCTACCCGTTTGAAGTCTTTTGTCTCTCCTCAGGCATCTCTAGACTAAACAGTTCTCATTCCTTTACTCTTTCCTCATCAATCTGAGCAAATTTCTTCCAATCACCTTTGTTATTCCCCACTAGACTGTCAGTCTGGTCACTGCCTTTCCCTGTGACCTTGTTCCAGGACTTTGCTTGTTATGGAAAGATTAATCTTCAAGAGGGAGTATTTTTTTCCCTCTAAACAACAACAAGACCCAAAGAAATAACCCAAATTTAGGCACCGGAGGGAGTATTTTTTTCCCTCTAAACAACAAGACCCAAAGAAATAACCCTAATTTAGGCACTAAAGGTGAACAGGGCAAGAGAGGGGCACAGGAACTGAGCTGTCAGGAACAGAGGAATTTCTAAAGTGGATGAGATGTGATGTTTAAGAGAAGCTTGTGTGTAAAAAGCAGCTTTTCTTAGTTATCTTCAATTGGGACTTTAATTTGCTGCTCAAAATCCCTTCTGAGGGATTCTGAGGCTAATGCAGCCTTTGAGTAGAGCCCAATGGCTCACTTTTGGTTTAAGGTCTGACTGGAGAACACACAAAGCTGATGGGTCCAGACCCAAAGCTTTCTTCACCTCAAAGGGGCCCATTCCTAATCCCTCACTGATGTTGCAGCACAAGCCAGGCAGGAAAGGCAGAGGTTAGAGCAATCCTGGAGAGGAAAGACAACTCTTCATGCAATGTCTCTTCCCCCAGGAACTGCTTCTTGATTTATCCAGTGATTGCTCAGTGACTGCGGTAAAAGTCCCTGTGTCCTGGCCTCACACTTCAAAGCAAATATCCCCACTGCTGCCTCACAGAGCCAGGCTCTCTTTTCCACTCCCTTTTTCTCTTAACGATCTGGAATGATGATGGGTGGGGAGGAAGCAAGGGCAGGTTTTAATTATTAAGTTTCAAAAGCCTGGGCATGACTGAAATGGACACAGCACTGAATGGTCAGGGGATGCAGCTCCATGCTGACCTGCAGACACAGAGCCAGCTCAGTCCTTTTCCCCAGTCAAGTCTAGCACTTCTGCTTTCCCAGCTGGCTGACCAGCCCTGAAAACAAACCCAACAAACCCATCACTGTTTCCAAGCCACGCCAGCCTTCTTCCTCCATCAGGGTGAGGGAGGTGTTGCTGTGCTCAGACACAGCCCAAACTTCAGCCTTCCTCTCTCTGCAACCTGGCAATCCAGCTTGGCTCCAAAAAGGGCTCCTTGTCCTCATCCTCCTGGCTCTCCAGCCACGTCAGGCTGCCAAAGATCACATTTCCAGATGGCCAACGTTCCCTTCACCCTGCCTGCCATCCCAGGGGATCCCAGGGGAGCTCCTGCACGTCCTCCTCCTTGGTATTTCAGCCGGGATTTGCAGGATCAGAGAGCAGAGGGTGGTGGGGAACGTTTTACAGCCAGGCTGATGCAATGCTCCCCGTGTCAGCAGAGGTGGGAAATCCCTGGCAACTGAGCAGCCCATGATGGAACCTCACTGGGCTCAAGCCAAGGGGGGGAAAAGACCCCAAAACCCATCAGAAGGTGACACAACAAGGCCAGGCCCCAGGAATCCTCTTGCCACCTTGATGATGAAGACCCCTGGGGCTGCCCCCCCCCTCCCTCCCTCCCCCAGGATTTCAGAGGGGCTGCCCAGCATCCCGAGGGGCACATCCCCAACCTGAGGGGCATCCCCAGGCTGAGCACAACCCCTGGGTACCCCCACCACCCTCCAGACCCCCCAAAAACCCCCTCACAAACCACACACAAACACCCC